CTCACAGCTCATGTGAGTCCACCCGGCGAATGCCCTATAACTTCTGAGGAAGTTTGTTCTGTGGAACGGATTATCTCACGACTTCTACCGAGTCGCAGCCGCCCTGAGGAGACGCTGAAAGGTAGCGTGCCAGGGACCTCTTGACCACAGCTGATTCATCCTCTGCCAAGGTAAAGAGTCGTCACGAGCTTCACTACCAGTGTACCGCGGGCGAACTGCGCTTGAAAGGAGCGTGTTGTTCTGGTCTACAGACATACATCCTCATCCATCCATTTTCTCTCCATTTAAACTCCTTCATTTCCCATCTTCAAACTTCTATCTTGCCAGTAATTAATCCAGATATCTTCAGAAATGTCTGTTGTTTTTATTAAGTAAAACGTGCCAAGTTTTATTAATCAGAGCCCATAGCATAATCAAGTGTACAATGTTTTGATGTTAAATTTTGATTCTGTTAATAAATGACCACATTCATTTTGAAGGGTCAAAGAAAATTAACGTCTCATGTCACTGATTAGACCATCTCCACCACAGTACCTCTGTCACATATCGGTCAAGTAGCTCGAAAAAGTGAGAACCCGTTATTAAAAATTGACTGTAGTGGAGCTCTTAAGCTAACTGAAGCTAACCTAGCCTTAGCATACTACACTAACCAGTAGTCCCCTAATAAGGTGTGGCTGTGTGTTCCTCAATAAGTAATGGTTAACTACCCATTAGCTCCTGATTCATTTCTCTTTGGTTTCCTTGGTAACTACCCATTAGTTCTTGATTAGTTCCTCTTCATTTACAAGGTAACTAACCAGTAGTCCCCTAATAAGGCTTGGCTGTGTGTTCCCCAGTAAATACTGGTTAACTATCCATTAGCCCGATTCGTTCCTGAGGCATTCCCTAGTAGCTAAGCAAATTTTGTGTACCTTATGGTAAAGTCCAAAAAAGTTCAGTCTGGTCCTCTGGACATTCAAAAAAAAACAAAAAAAAAACAAACAAAACAAAGCAAAAAAATATAGAAACGTTTCGTCTCTCATCCAAGAGACTTCCTCAGTCTGAGGTGCTGTTTTCAGCTCAGTCTCTTAAATAGCACCTTCTTAGAGTGAATCAACCAGTTTGCTGCTGACAACCAAAACCTGCTGGAGTAAATTATCACATTTTTCTTTGCATTCATTCTTTAGGTAAAGTAAACCTAAAAAAAAATACAAAAAACAAAACTACCTGTTTTTGCATTGCTCTGGCAGAAGAAAACTTGGGTTGATGGTATTGTGTCGTACTGAGGAGGTGAACACGGGTACAGACATTTGTCCTTTTCTCTATCAGTATTAATATTGCTGCGGTGGTATTTAGCGTACAGTCTGGCGTTTGTTTAGCGTATATATTATCTTGGTGTAAAGCTTAGATCCTTATTTATTATTTATTTTTATACTTTATATTTGTTATTTTTGGGTGTAACTGGGAACCTACGTACACAATTTCCTTCCACCACATGCACCACATGTGAAGGATCGACAATAAAGTAGACTTGAACTCGCAATAAAGAAGCGGCAGCATTCCACTGTTATTGATACTCAATGTAGAGCTTGTTTAAAATATTAACACTGCTTCCAGACACCATGCACTAAAACTGTAGCAAAAATGAAAGGATTATTTTTCAAAGAGTCTCCAAATTCAGTCAATGTAAAAACACAAATGCTGTGGGGTTTAAGTTGAACTTGACTTTTGTGTTTGCTTATTAAAAATGGCTGCATGCCGCAGTTTTGTGAAGTTATGACAAAAGTAGTCTTTTCCCCCCCTGTATTTATTGGTTGTACATCTTTCAGACACAGTACTTCTTCATAACAATAATTTAAACAAATGCTTTAATTTTTATAAATCTCGAGTTCTAATTTCTCCCTGACAAATGCAGAACAAAAATCAAGGGAAATGCTTCAACTACACCGATAAGTTAGATCTAAATCTTCGACTCCACATGCCTCATCTACATCATATCAGATTATATAACGATGGCAAGGATGTAAAAATCTCGGAAATGAAACAATATGCACTTTATTTTTGTAATTCTATAACAGTGTGTCCGCATTTGAAAAGTAAAAGAAAGCCCGTTATTTATGGCTCCAGTATATGTGTGGTTGTGAATACATCTATATCCAGCTGCACCATGACTACAGAACACAAGCTGGACCAAGAGGGGAAAAAACATGAGTGAAATTTAAAAATAAAAAATAAAAAAAGAGTAGTGACACAGCACACTGCTAGCGGCCTGTCAGAAAAAGATTTGGCGTTGCTTTTCTCCGAAGGAGACGTAGAAAACATAAAAAATGTTAAGTGGTGCTTCAGTACAAAATGACAACAGTGCTTGATCGTTCATGTGAGTGAGGAGTACCGAGTTTGGATACACGTGTTTTTTGGAATCCCACATATTTCAAAATATCTAATTCAGTGAGCGTTAGATCTCCAGACAAAAAGGTATGTTAATTTACCAGCTCAGAAAATAACTAATTTACTTCTTCCATATTTGCTGTTCCTCTACAATGGAAAGTCCATGGTTTCATTAAGCTATTTTTTTGTACCTAATAACAGCAAATTATTATTAAAAAAATTTTACATCACTTTAACAAAGGAAATTAGTTAAAAATCCTCTACTTGAACTTTCACCTTTCTTAACGTAGTGTTGTAGCTCATATTTTCCCGTAGTGGAAATAATGAAAATTAGCCAAAGCCAAAATAAGAAAAGTTTAATATTTGTTTAACATTAGCCTATAGATGCAACAGTCTTAATGTTAGTTAGAAAAAACTTAAACTCAGGATTTATACAATTGATATGCAACATAGATGTGCGAAGGCAAATGACGCTAAGTTCAACTAGTTACTTTTGGCCTTATGAACAATGACGTCACAGCATCTCCTGTAGGAGGGGTTTGTGTAATTTTTACTGATCATCATGGCACATCATGATTTTAGTGGTCACACTGCAAAAGTAGCACATTTAAAACAAGAAAAGAGTGGAAAAAACAAGAAATCGTTCTTTTCAACAAGCAAATGCAAGACAAGAAAAGGTGCATTCACTGCAAACTTAAGGTAAACTTTAAAAATTGATTAAAAGTAGATGAGCAGAAATTTTGCAGTTTCATTTGCTTCCAGTACAACTTTTCTTCTGATGTCATTCCTGCTGTTTAAAAGTTTTATTTCTCAGTGGTGACACCTACTGTTTAGGAGGAGAACTGCAAAGAGTGTAGCTCGTCTTGGAATACCGACATAACCTACATCTCCGCTTTGTTGACTTCACAACTTGCTAAATACCATGGTTTGAGTATAATCTTGGTTTATATTACCCACGTTTTCTTATTTATGAAGTAGTGTTTCAAAAACCTGTGCAAATTCGAAACAAGCTACAAGACTACACAATCCATGGACCAACAGCCAAAGGAGGAACTTTAGGCATTTTAAAACAAAACTGAATAAAACTGAAGTTGTTGAAGTTATAAAATTAGTTTGCTCTTTGTACAAATGTAAATTACTACATTTACAAAGCGCTTTTCTACTCTAATTGACTAATGCACTCACAAGCTCACACACTGATTAAAATATGAGGAGCAACTGGGGACAACTGATGTGATGCAACCTGTCAATCACTCTAGTAGGCACGGCAACAACTGATCAATCAGCGATCGCAATTTGTCCTGAAGCGAAACTTCCTTTACCTGCAGGAGCTGCACCCCCTTTCACTCCGACAACATTGTCGGGGTTTTTCATTACGAATGCTTTGTGATCAGAGGGATTTTGTGAAAAATTATCGAAAAAAATGGTTAAATATTGTCAGTGGGCAGAAGGCAAATTCAGACGAGTTACCCTGAGCAGTTAGAGGATGGAATACAGTTTATTCCATTTCCAAATACTAAACAGTTTGGAAAAATGTAAAAGATGGATAAAGGCCAGGGGCCGACCTCATGATCAGCTGAATACAACAATGATAAACAGGAAGTACCACATGTTCAACTATACAACGGTAATTACAAGTAAATCCTCCATTTTATGTCATAATTACATTATATGATTAATGATTAAATTAAAGGTAATGTTTAAAGGTAGTTGTGCTTTCTAAAAAAGTTAAATCTGGTCCTCTGGACATTCAAAAAAACCCAAAACAAAGCAAAACAACAAAAAATGTAGAAACGTTTCGTCTCTCGTCCGAGAGACTTCCTCAGTCTGAGGTGCTGTTTTCAGCTCAGTCTCTTAAATAGCACCTTCTCAGAGTGGATCAACCAGTTTTGCTGCTGACAAGCTCAAGAAGGACCATCAGCCTAACAATGGATCATTAGCACACTGATGGCTGTTTACTATTCACAGAGGAATAGTATAGCTATTTAAGAGACTGAGCTGAATACAGCACCTCAGACTGAGGAAGTCTCTCGGACGAGAGACGAAACGTTTCTACATTTTTTGTTGTTTTGCTTTGTTTTGGGTTTTTTTGAATGTCCAGAGGACCAGATTGAACTTTTTTAGATTTTTCTACCTGGATTATTGAGCATGCATCAGGGTAGTTGTGCTTTGTTTTGTGTGTTATATATATATGTTGTAACTTCTGGTTGCACAAGTTTAGTCTTTGTTATGATCAGTTAACACTAAACTGATTTAGGTTATATAATGTAAAGTTTACACTCTTAGTACATACTGAATTTCACAGTAAATTATTGCCCTGTGTTGCTCTGCGGCATAAAAACATCCACTGCAATAACTATACTACGTTATTAGTATCTTTGATTTATTTTTTCCCCGTCCTGGCCTTAATGTTGGCTGATAAAGCAGAAATGCCTCGAGCTTCACTACCTCCACCATTAGTGCTTTCTTGTTTGTTTGTTTGTTTGTCGGAGGTTAGCTCACTCTGAGTTTCACTTCCATGTGGGCGGAGCAATCTTTTTCATGATTTCATGATTTGCGTCATGTCAATTGCATCACCTAGCAAAAAAAGAGAGAGATATTATATCTCTTAATGTTTCTCATGTTTTACTTACAAGCAAATGATGTTTGCCAAGTTTATCTGTTCCGTTTTCTCCACACTGTGCTGGCTCTCTCCAAGATGTGCAAACCTATGGAACCAAGAAAATAATATGAACACTCAAAAACATTCCAACAAATAAATAAGAGAAGCTACAAAGATGGTTGATAATTGTCGCCAAGGCTCCAATAAACTCTCCGCCCTTTAGCATGTGTGTTCTTTGCCAAACAAGCCTTTTGGGGTCTTTAATGTTCAGATATCATCATCATTACTCATCAACTCTCACCCCTCTGGTAATGTTTTACCCTCACAATGACACAATCCTGAGCAACAGCTGATGGGTCTCCTCCTGTGCTTGCTTTTGGTTTTCATTATTAATGTGCTGATTACAGCAGCTCTGACCTTAGCTAACATCTTTAAAGCTGTTGCAACTTCCAGCTTCAATAATGAACGCAATTTCATACTTATTATGTGCCACTGTGGCAGAAGGATATGAGTGTCATTCTTCACTGCAATCTGGACCGTACAGTAATTCCCTTGCTGCAATCACAACTGTGTCTGCCAGCAGAATCAGATGAGATGCAAACAAAAAACAATGATGTTGGCAAAATAAAGTATGCAAGATTGATTTTGTTTTTGGTTTGTTTTTTTTAGACCCGAGTATCTCATTACAATCACATGTAAGGTTTTTTTTTTTTTGTTTATTAATCACAAAAATCTTCCTTATTGTTACATTAATGTTACAATTTCTTGTTGGTAATCAAATCATTTATGGAACCATTGGAAACAACACTCAGGTCTCTCATGTAAATGAGTCCTCGAGGCTCAGTGAGATTAACCTGTCTAAATAAAAGTTGAATTAATGAAAGTGACGATATTCCAAGTGCAACATGTCCCAGTTGACAATAAAGGAAAGTCCATGACATTCAGTTCTCACAGGTCTTTGTTAATAAAGTACTTCTTATAATGCGTGTTGGAGACCTTTACTCAAAGAGAATAACCACTGTGCAGCAAAAATATTTCCTTTTTCCTTTTTATACAGTTGTATTAATAGAAAATGTTGCTAAAAATATTGCACGCCCACTATGCAAAAGCTACATCAGAGCAGTTCTCTCGGAATTAGTGGCAGCTGTATGTGAAAAGCTTTTATTTATGTAAAGCTCCAGTCAAAGCATCATATCGTATGAAACATTCTGTTTGCTTCCAAAAAACAGAAAGTTGTGTTCATTTTTAGGCCCTGTGAATGTCTTTTCGTTAACGCTGCAGGGAGGGTTCAGAGAGAAGATAAAATAGAGAAATTCTTCACTTCTCTCTCTTAGGAACTGGTGTTATTGTCAACAAAAATAAGACAAAGGCTTTCAATGTTTTCCAATCATAGACGATAAAAACCCAAGACTAGGACTCATCCATTTTTAAATTTACACAGGTTTTAAAAAGGGGACAAAAGAAGTGGTACTCTTAAATGCATCTGGAGATCTGCAGGTCACACATAAACACATTTGATTCAGGTGAAAGATAGGAAAAAGAAAGCAACTGTTTTTCTTCATACAACTTAAATAAAACATTTTCTTTAAAAGAATAGTTCAAACCTTTGAAAGTGGTGTTCTTTTGAGAGGTTATGATTAACTCACATCTCACCTAAAGTAGATAACTCTTTGAATAACTTCATTTGAAGAACCCATTACCTTTCGTAAATGAGCAGGTCTTCGTCAGCAGGACATTTAGCAGCATCAAGTCCGTACGGTTCTTTAATCGTGTGCCGAGTCTGGATTTCCTAAAGAGCATTAAAAAAATGAAGATTGCATTCAAGATAAGCTCAGTTTATTTCCACATTTAATTACAAGCTCCAAAAATAATGATACAAAAAGATCCCTTTTAGGATGCTTCACTTAGATAATAAAATCAAACAGACAAGTTCACCAGGTTCAGCTGCTTTGCAACAGACTCGTTAATTCAGACCAGCCATGGAGGGTAATGTAAGCCTATTTGACAGTAATTTGATTGTTAGTGTTTGATGAGGTAGTTTTATGTTTGTTCATGTTTGTGTCCAGTGGCCTCCTGGGGTTCCTGCACACCGTGTCCACAGACACAAATAGGAGTCGTGGCATTTCCCCTAATATATAAAAGGTACCTCTTAAGCAAAATAAACAGTCTTGACCTTCCAAGAGTTGGACTCCACCAACCCTATGAAGTTCTGCTGCTGTACCAAGCCAAGGCATCAGAGCTGACCTTTAAAGCTCATATGAGTTGCAAGATGAGGCCTGCATGGAACAAATTTGTTTGTCATGTACATTTCAGAAATATTTAGTTGTAAGAGCTGGATAACAGAGGCTGAGTTAACACATCAAACTCAAAGATTTCCTAAATTGTTCTTTTGGGTTTGGTTCCAAGGGGTTTGGTTCCAAGGGGTTTGGTTCCAAGGGGTTTGGTTCCGCTCATACCTGAGTGACAGGAGTTTCTGTGTTAAGGTTGGCAATAACATATCTGCATCAGTGTCTCTTTCCTGTGGGGTCTCACAGGGCTCAATTGTTGGACCCTTTTTGTTTTCACTCCATCTACTCACTCTGGGGTCGATCCTGAGGAAACATGATCTTTCAATCCATTGTTATGCTGATGATTGTCAGATTTATCTGCCCTTAAAACCAACTAGTTTTTGCTCCATTCACCCTCTGTTAAAATGTCTTGATGACATCAAGGCATGGATGGCTTCAATTTTTTCAAAGTTTTAATGATCATAAGACTGAAGTCATTGTGTTTAGTCCTAGCTCAACCACGGTCTCTGATCCTGTAAACCTGGACTCTCTTCAGCCATATCTTAAGCAGTCTGCTACAAATTTTGGGATGGTTTTAGACTCTGACTTGGAGTTTAATAAACAAATCAACTCTGTTCTGCAGAAAAGCTTCTTCCAGTTAAGGCAGATAGCTAAGCCTAAGCAAGTGATTTTCAGATCTGACCTTGAAAAACTAGTCCATGCCTTTATCACTACCTGACTTGACTACTGTAACGCACTCTATGTTGGGGTCAGCCATGTCTCCATTTCACGTCTCCAACTCATCCAAGATGCTGCTGCTTGGCTCTTAACTGGAACTCATAGTTTTGGTCATATTACACCAGTTTTATCCTCCCTTCACTGGCTCCCTGCGTGTACCAGAATTGATTTAAAAAATTTCCTGCTAACCTTTAAGTGTATAAATGATTTTATCTCTCTGAGCTTCTGGAACCATATGTTCCCTGAGATCATCTGATCAGCTGCTTCTGGCTGTTCCAAAAACAAGACTGAAGCTCAGAGGAGATCGGGATTTTTCAGCCATGGGACCCAAACTTTGGAACAATCAGTCCCCCAACATCAGGCAGGCCACTTCACTTCCTCTTTTATATCTCTGTTTTCTCTGACATTTCACACAGTGCGAGATGATTTAGTATTTTTTGTTCTGTGGTTTATTTTATTTTTTTAATTTTCATGCTTTAATTAATTTTTCAGTATTATCATTTTTATTTATTCCATTAATTTACTCTCAATGATGTTATTATTAAGCACTTTTGTAACAGCTGCTGTTTTGAATGTGTTTTAAATAAAGTTGATTTGTCTTTAAACATTTTACCCTTCATAAAAACTATTTCCATTAGGAGTATGGACTACAGTTTCCAGTAGGGGGTACACAGGAAAATAATATCCATATAAAAAGCAAAACAATGCCATGGTCTTCTCATTTCTGAAATGCAGTGCTGCTAGATAAGCAATAGTGCTTAACTTTATAGATCAGAAGTAAAAATATAAATAAATGCAATCATTTAAAAATGTTTAAGTTTCATAATATATAATAGGGAAAACAATAACAGCCAAAGGCTCTCTTTAATGAGGCTGTGCTCTGATAAGACAGACCATTTTGCAGAACATATAAAAAACAAGGTTCTTAAATGGAAAAAGGGGTTTGATTAATATGGCTTAATGAGGAATAATTACAATGAGATATAAATTATTACCAGGGATCATTTATCAGGCTGTGCCAGTGATTACAACATGTAAAAAGAAAAACAGAAGGATATTTTTCTCATGTGACATGACTGAAAGTTCATCTGTTAGAAAGCAACTGTGCCACATGACATGAAGTCAAAATCATTTAATAAATAAAAACAGATTCTAACATTTATTATATAAAAATATCTGAAACTTTTATGTAGAAATTGATTTCTACAGTATACACCTTTAAAATGGCCTTGCTGTTGTTGTCTTTGACAGTGCATTTCAAAAGTCTTTACCCACTTTGATGTCTTACATACTGGGATCATATCTCAGGTCTCTCTTGTGAATGAGTCCTCGAGGCTCAATGAGACTAACCTGCATAAATAAAGGTTGAATATGTTTTGGGTCACTATTCTACAAGTTTTCTTTTTTTCTTTTTTGATTCTTACAAAGCATCTCTAGCCAGTTACTAGAGATCGCCCATGTGTTTATTACTTCTAGGCAGACTTCATTATCTGGATGTCCAAATAACTCATTGGTCGTTGAGAGGACAGGAAAGAGACGAACACTGAACATATTGCTTCTATAGCTTCTCAACAACCAAGTTACATCTTAAAAATCTTAATGTTTGCCCCCCAAACAGAGCACTTGACTCTCAAACTGCAGGTTTACTTGTGGTTCTTAGAGTTTCTAAACATTAAATGAGAGGTAGGGCTTTCAGTGATCACACTATTCTCTTGTGGAACAGACTTCTGTCACCTTGTCTACTTTTAGGACAAGACTTAAGACTTTCCTTTTGAACAAATCCTATAGTTGACTTGGGTTTCCTGATATCTCTTTTAGCTATGCTGTCATAGGCTCTGACTCCTGGAGGACATACTGGCAATATTTCCTCATTCAATTGGCATCTTTATTTCCACTTTTCTCCCATGTTTGTACATGTAGTAGAGGCTGCCATTAACCTGTATTTTTCCTCCCATAGAAATCAACACTTAGACCAATTCTATGCCAGCATCTCTTTCTTATCCTCTTAAAAGCTCAGCCAGCGGAGGCAGATGGCCACTCATTTTAAGCCTGGTTCTGCTGGAAGTGTCCATAGTTAAAAATGAGTCGTTTCTCTCCACTGTCACCAATGCGTTTGTTCAGGATAGGGAATTGAGACAAAGCAAAGATTCAAGATGCGAGAATTAGGGCAGTGTATTTAACAAAAAAGAAAATTTAAAGATGCTAACAAAGTGCATTAAATAAACAACCATTTAAAAGAATGATATCCATCCAACCAACCACCAATCCATTATCTTTACCTGCTTCTTCATTTCTAGGTTGCGGGGATCGCTGGTGACCATGTCCAACATTCACTGTGCGAGAGGCGGGGGACAGCCTGGACAGGTCTCCAGTCCATCACAGGAACACGGAGACAAACGAGACAAACAACCATTCTCACACTCACCAAGGGTCAATTTAGAGTTATCAATGATCCTAACATGCATGTTTTTGGTCTGTGGGAGGAAACCGGAGTACCTGGAGCAAACCCATGCATGAACAAAGAGAACATGAAAACTCCACCCAGAAAGGTCCTGGTTGAGAGTCAATCCAGCATTCTTCTCGATGAGAGACAACAGATCTACTAACTGCACCACCATACCGCCCAAAATTGACATTTTACAGTTATTAATTATTGAATGTGACTACACTGAAATAAATTTTATTTTGGTATTTAACCGTGATGTGTCGCGTTTCATTTTTCATGATTACAAAATAATTTAGTTTGAAGATCCCCGCGCCTCCTAATTTTGACTACCTTGAGTGGTATTTAGATGAAGCTCTATTAATATTTGGGTTACATGGTCATGGTCTTCTCGTCACAATACGATTCTACAAGTGAACTTTATGCCCTTTATTTCAAACTTAAAAGGCCTTTAAGAACTCAGAGAAGCTTGTTATATAACAGCCCAGCCAGGAGCGTTCAACAGAAGCAAGATACTTTATTTATCTCTGACAATATTCTGATTCTACAATAATACATGCAGCTTAATGTTGGAGAGGAGAATAAATCAGGTTGTTTCAGAACCAAGTCCAAAATACAGCAGCTGTGTCCACAGAAAAAAATAAATAAAAACTCCACACACGGTCTCTCTTTAAACAAGACTATACCTGAACACACACTCTGATATAAACACCTTTATTAATGTATATTTTACACAGATGAAGGGTATTGTTCACACTCACTTACACGTGGACGTCCTTACAGTGGCGGGATATTAAATGAGCATGTGTAATTTTATGGCAAACGCAGTTCTAATCTAACGTTTAAAATTTTCAGCAGTTGTATGTTGTGCTGGCACCCAGTCATTTCTCAGGGACAGGCCTGCAGGCAGTGACACGAGATGTGTGCGCCTGACACGTGAGCTCAATGTCCTGCCTGAAATCCATAAATTCATGACTGACTCATTGCTCAAGGTCCTGACAAGACAGATAACCGAGTGACAATTCATTATAAATCAGGAGTGGAGAACAGATGGAGAGAAAAGAAGAGGCTTGTTTTATTATTTTTCTGAGAATTAGAGATCTGCTTGCTGAGATTTCTTTTAACACGTGCACTCTGCAAAGTGAATGGAAACCAAGATAGATTAAAATTTTTGAGGATTCAATTTTGCACACACTTTTTTTTTTTTATATTCTGGTACTTTTGTTTTCCAACTAGGGCAGCAGTTTTAAAAAAAAAAATCCTAGTTGAAGCTTAGAAACATTACTAAAAATTTAATTAAGCAAAGACTAATGACTCAGTTCCAAACAACTTTTAAATTCC